AATTTACAGATGTAGACTAAAAAAAGTGAATTATTAGGTATATCTGGATGGCTGGATTAATGGGATGCTATAAATTAAATAAATGCTATAAATATAAGTGTAGTGAAGTGTAAATCCAGACTGTTAGTGAAGCAGCTCATTCAGTCTCCACAGAGACTCTCCTGTAAGGACTCACTGAAGAGGATCACTTTACACCTCATAGAGACGAGGACATTCAGCTGACGTAGTCACAGCGTGTGGCATGAAGCTACATTTCAGTAGTTCTTGAGTAGTTCTTGAAATTAATGGTGATGTAATGGGTGTGAAGATTTGATGGTTATGTGTTTCTAAGAAGATGCTCGTGCATTTTCTTATCTATTTACAGAGTATATCAGTTTTCTACATATTGACTTGTTTTATCTTATTTCAGGTTGAATATTTTGACTCCATTTGACTGTTTGTTTCTTTTATGGATCCAGAAAGGAGCCAGTCAAGGTTTTGTTTTCACACACTTTGCATTGAATGGAGAAGCAGGATCCAGATACCTGTGATCACTTGAAAGGAAAAGAAACTGTGCCTTTGAGGTTTGGGACTTTTAATCTTTCAGAGTCACTTCAACTCTACAATTCACTTAGCAGACGCTATATCCAAAGTGCAACACAAGCGAGGATCTAGAGAGGAGGAAACAAAGTCAGTAAGTGCAAATGAACAGCTTTCAGTCTGATCTGACACACAGATGCTGACAGGAAAGCACAACTTCAACAGCTGTTCTTTAGAGTTCTAATCAGCATCAAAACCATCCTAAATATCGTGATCATCATTACCAAACAACACCATCTTCATCTTCATCATCATCATGAAGGTCATTGGTGTTCATAAAGAGCTGGGTCTTTAGCTTTTTCTTAAAGGTGCAAAGGGACTCTGCAGATCCAATGAAGTTTGGAATTATTTTCCACCACCGGGGGCGACAGAGGAGAAGAGTGTAGTTAGAAACTTAAGAACCTGTCCGGTTCAGTTCGGTATGGTACGCATGTATTGGCGTTTCTACTGTTATGAATACTTTTTTGGTACTCTTCTGTTGGGGTGCCAAGCGTACTGAACCGACTCTAAAGGTTGGAGCTAGAAACACTGCAGTCTGTTGATTGGTCGAAAGAAGAATCTTCACTTGACAGCGGTAATAAAGGACAAACACAAAACGCACCACGTTTTGGAGAGAGTCATTAAAAGGCTGTTTTCTGTTTTTATGCGACTATATGTCAGCCGTAGCTCCGCCCATGGACGACCTGGGAGATGCAATCATTCATTTTTATTTACTGTGTCACATTCTTCTTCTTCTTTATTGAATGTCTTGGCTGTCTGTCGTGCCGCTGTTGTTTTATGATGTACGGTTGGCTGTTGAAACGCAAACAAGATCAGGGTTTACCGTGTCAGACTGTACTGAACCAAACCAGACCGCTTGGTGGAAACGGGGCTTTAAGGCCCAGGTTCAGTTGGACATTTGTGAACACCTTATAGAGGCAAATAAAAACACATAAAGTGCAGACTGGCTCTTGTATAGTGTTTGCTTCCTCTCTTATTCAAGTACTGCTATGTGTTGCTTTTATCCGTCCCTAAACATTGGCTGTTATTGTGTAAGTTGAAAAGTTATTTTAGGTCAAAGAGCCTGCAGGACAGTAAACTAAACTGAGCACACATTCGTGAGTGTGTGTCCTCAGTGAAGTGTGTCAGTCTCTGCAGAAGCTTCCTGCTGCAGCAGTCAGTCTGGTTTCTGTTCAGGCTGACTGAGGGAGGTTTTTGTACGACGCTTTTTCACTGTGTGAACACATACTGACTGTTGATATCATGTAAACTCAGACAGTAGTAAACTGCTGCGTCTTCAGTCTGGACTCCACTGATGGTCAGAGTGAAGTCAGAGTTTGATCCACTGCCTGTAAAACGATCTGAAGTCCCTGATTCTCGAGTGCTACCAGAGTAAATCAGCAGTTTAGGAGTTCCTCCATCTTTCTGTTGGTACCAGGCTAAGTCGGGTTCGTCGAGAGTTGTATCTACATCCTCACTGGTCCTACATGATAAGGTGACGGAGGCTCCCAGAGCAGATCTCACTGCTGCAGGCTGAGTCACTGTGACCTGTCCTCTGGACTCTGAGGAGACAGAGACAAACACATGAAGCAGCATCAGGGTTGTGTGGGCTTCATTTCAGAGGGACGGATGTTCATAGAGGAGAGGAGTTTGATTGTCTGGACTTTACCTGTGAAGCAGCAGCAGAGGAGGAGAGTCCAGATGAGGACGCAGATCAAAGTCATGTTTTTGGACGAGGAGGAGGAGGAGGATTTCTGTGGCTCCTGTTGTGATGAAGGACAGCTGTCAGTCCTGCAGTGTTCAACTCTCAGGACTTTAAACTCTCCCCGAGCACTGGAGCATGCTGCTGCTCATGCAAAGTGGCTCTTTATGGAAATGCTCTGACTAACTGGGGACTTGGATTATACTAATTATAAAGTTAATTTTTTAAACTTTCAATAAGACATGTTTTTAAAACCGTGTTCATGCTTCTGGAGAAATCCCCGGAATAAAATGTCTTAATTTTGAATATTAATGGAAATGTATTCTTTATACTTTTCAGTTCATTTGAAGGTTTTGCAGACAAGAGCATTTTTTTTTACTTTCTTTAGTGAGAGGTTTTTGTACGGCGACTCAGTGAGTTTGCATCACTGTGGTACACATTTGGTGGAGGAACCAGACTGGATGTTGGAAGTAAGTCAAATATTAACCCTTTGTATGTAAAGAGATTATTTTATTTTGAAATGGAAGACGGAAAATGACTGACCCAAACATTTGTGTGCATGTTTTTCTCTGTATTTAGACTAAAAACAAATTTTTAAAGAAACACAAAATCGTATCAAAATAAATGTCAAATCTGAAGCCAAAGTCATCATTTCTTCCAAGGTAATTGAGTGTTATCATTGTAAAGGTGAAGTTGCATCTTGAGGGCTGGTAGTTTGAGTACGATGTGTTGAAGTCAGAGAGCCGTGTCTCTGTGCAGTGAGAGGTTTTTGTACGGCGATTCAGTGACTTTGTATCACTGTGGTGGACTTTTGGTGGAGGAACCAGACTGGATGTCGGAGGTAAGTTTCTGCTGATTTCTAAACAGTGTAATGTAATCGTGATTTTTTTTTTTTTCATTTACAATATAAAGAAACATTTATACATTTTTACATTATATTTTTTTCCTGTTTGTGTTTGACCTCCTGTACCATCTCAGGACAGATCATTTACATTCAGTTCAGCAGCTTCAGATTCATAAAAAATAATTCTCTGGTTTCAGATATCTATTCCACATCAACGATAACTCTTAAAGGCCTTATTTCATTTTGTCATTTTGAATAAATTGCTCAAAGGGAAGTTGTAAGAATTTTGAAAGAAAATGTTCAAAATCTCTGATCTCTTTCTGCAGATTATGTCACTTAAGATTTTTTAGCCTTTTATGATTTAAAACATGTTTTATTGATAGATTTGGTTCATGTTTCCACTCAACAGTTAGAAAAATAGGTATTTCAAAGGTTTGAGTGATTTGATGATTTTTCAGCATATATTTTAAGTCCAGTGTATTCTGGTCTCTCTGTACGATGATCGTCTCTGTGTTGATTTGCATGACAGATTTCTGAGAGGGAAGTGAAACAATGTGTGAGTGACTGCTGAAGCAGAAAAAAACATCTGACAGAAACTCCTTAAAGGAGAAACTCTGCTTTCAACTGCAAAGGTGTCCAGGAGTGATGTGTTTGACTGACAGCTGTGTGGTTCCTGTCCTCTGTTCTGATTGGTGTCTCCTAGGTGAAGCCCGTCCCACCTTGATGGTTCTGCCCCCTTCCAATGAGGAGCTGCAGCAGGGGAAGGCCACGCTCGTGTGCCTGGCCAACAAGGGCTTCCCCTCAGACTGGAGTCTGGCCTGGAAGGTGGACGGCATCAGCGGCGGCAGCTGGGAGGAGAGCAGGGGCCCTGCGGTGATGGAGCAGGACGCTCGTTACAGCTGGAGCAGCACCCTGAGGCTCTCTGCAGGCCAGTGGACGAAGGTGGGCTCTGTGACCTGTGAGGCCACCCAGGGCTCCCAGACGCTGGTCTCAGAGACACTGAGGAGGGACCAGTGTTCCCAGGACTGAGCTGTATCACCTGGACTCTGCTGCTGGTTTCTCCCTGCTGTTGTTTCACTTCTGAAACTGCCCTCAGTTTACACGCTAAATGCCTTCTTTCCCTCTCTATGATTTTATGTTTCAACGTTTATTTTTCTTACCTTTTGTATTGACAGTTTTTCTTAAATTGAGCAAAAGAATAAAAATGGAATCAAACAGTGTTTGTTGTGCATATCTTTCATTTCTTAACAGGTTAACAATTTTTGAACGGACTTTGGTAAGTTCATCTAAAGAATAAAAAAAAATAGCAATGGAAAACTTCCAAATAATCTTATATCATCAAAATCTGCTGTTAAAGATGGTGAAATGTCTCAATCTGATGACTGATGTGTTGATTGTTAAATCTCTGAAAATAATGAAGGTGGGTAAGAAATGTGTTACAAATAAAACGGATGATATCATCAGCATAAAGTGATAAAACATTGCTTCTGGCATTTTGTTCAATGCCTGCTCTGTGGTTGTCAAAATTAGATTTAAATATATAGATAAAATCATGAGAACACACATTGTGAAAAGTTTATTCAAAGGCTTTTTGGTAGGGTTAGGGTTAAGACTGTTCTGCATATTCTGTTGGGATGTCAAAAGAAAACGATTTAATACTTAACTCGAAAAAATAGATATTCATCAATTAAAACAATTGAAATGTTTTTTAATTATTGACAGTAGTAAACCCCTTCTTTTACATGTGAGTGCTTTGGGGTGCTCTTCTTTTCTTGGATATAATTAGGAGGACTCTAATGGAAACAAGTTGGTAACCTCTGATGTAGTCGACGACTTTAAAAAGACTTAAAGAGTCTTATACAACACATATAGTTCTGTCAGTGCAGACTAACCTTTCCTCTGCAGGGCACCAGTTTAGCTCAGTTGATAGAGCAGGCGCTGTATTTTATATATTTGTGGCGACAGTAGCTCAGTCTGTAGGGACCTTGTTTGGGAACCCGAGGGTCGCTGGTTTAAGTCTCTGTACACATCAAAGTATGGAAGCTGCCAGGTCCCAGGTCACTCTCCGAGTGTTATAGAGGTGTCCTAGAGCAAGACACTGAACCCCCAACAGCTCTGTTGTGCTCCCTGTGTCGCAGTGTGTAGCAGCCCCACTGACATCTCTCCAGGTCCTGATTGTGTTAGTGTGCACAGGCATCATGTCCACAAGTTTTCAGATGTTACTGCACGCGTGCACCTACTTACCCAAGGCAACAATCTGACCAACAAAAACAGAGATTGAATCTTTAGTCAGCTGGTGTGATGCATATTGAATGTTGGAAAGACAAAGGAACATATTATTGATTTTAGAAGAAAGAAAGACGATGTTTCCCCTCATAGCAGATCCAAACTGTTCAGTTTCATAAATATGTCAGTGTCTTCCTGGACAGTACATTAAATTGGAAAAAGGACACTGATGTGTCTTTAAAGAAGGCTCAGTCAAGACTCTTAAGGAAGGTTAGATCCTCTGACTTTAGCAAGAACCTTCTGTACGTTTTGTATCTTGGCTAGTGTCCTCTTTTATGCTGTTCTGTGCTGGGGGGGGGGGCAGCTTCTGTTTGGATGATACAAATAGGATAAATAAGCTGATCAAAGAGGCTGGCTCTGTGATCGGCTTTACCCCACACTCTCTTGAAGTCACCTTTGAGAAGAGAACGAGGACAACACTAAAAATCTCTTCATAAATATCTGACATATGCCAAGGGTTCATTTTGAAATGCTAAGTACTGTATAGTGGAGATATATGATATTGAATAACTGATTGTGTAGTTTTTGTATTACAGGGAAGAGGTGATGGAAACCAGTCAGTGTAGTGTTTGAGTGTGTGTCCTCAGTGAAGTGTGTCAGTCTCTGCAGAAGCTTCCTGCTGCAGCAGTCAGTCTGGTTTCTGTTCAGGCTGACTGAGGGAGGTTTTTGTACGACGCTTTTTCACTGTGTGAACACAAACTCACTGTTGATGATATGTACACTCTGACAGTAATAAACTGCTGCGTCTTCAGTCTGGACTCCACTGATGGTCAGAGTGAAGTCAGAGTTTGATCCACTGCCTGTAAAACGACTTGAAGTCCCCGATACTCGAGTGCTACCAAGTAAATCAGCAGTTTAGGAGTTCCTCCATCTTTCTGTTGGTACCAGGCTAAGTCTGGTTTGCCGCCTGTAGTAACTAAATCCTCAAAGATTGCGGCTAAGTCGAATCCGTCGCCCGTAGTATCTACATCCTCACTGGTTGTACATGATAAGGTGACGGAGGCTCCCAGAGCAGATCTCACTGCTGCAGGCTGAGTCACTGTGACCTGTCCTCTGGACTCTGAGGAGACAGAGACAAACACATGAAGCAGCATCAGGGTTGTGTGGGCTTCATTTCAGAGAGACGGATGTTCATAGAGGAGAGGAGTTTGATTGTCTGGACTTTACCTGTGAAGCAGCAGCAGAGGAGGAGAGTCCAGATGAGGACGCAGATCAAAGTCATGTTTTTGGATGAGAAGGAGGAGGATTTCTGTGGCTCCTGTTGTGATGAAGGACAACTGTCAGTCCTGCAGTGTTCAACTCTCAGGACTTTAAACTCTCCCCGAGCACTGGAGCATGCTGCTGCTCATGCAAAGTGGCTCTTTATGGAAATGATGGATTTCAATCACTCAATGAGCTGATCTGATGATGAGTCTTTCAAGTATTTTAAAAGTTTTCTGAAAAGTATTTCAGTAGCTTTAACAATTATTGTTCCACAAGTTTCAGTTGTTCATATACACAATTCAAACAACATTTAAACTATTCTTTAAAACCTGAAAAAGTATTTTGCCAACTTTTTTTGTGTTGCTTGTGTTTGCCCTTTCTCAAGGATTAAAAATGTTTTTTTAATGAGAAAAATGTTGAAAGTGGATACAACATATACAAAGACTTATCACAGAATTACAGCGAAATTCTGAATTTGTATTTTGCAAACCAAACTTCACTGCATCTAAAGTCTAAAACAAGTAGCTCATAACGTCTTGTTTTAAGTAGTGAAACGTGTCTGTTGTCACGGTTAAGCAGTGGTGCCTGTCTGTTGAATGATTACTGAGCTAAGAGAGGGAAGTGAAATGTTTCAGACCAGTTCATCTTCTCTGAAGAAGACTGACAGATGCAGTCGTGTCCTCGGCTGCCACTTACGAGAAAAAGGGTATTTGACCTCCCTTAATTATCATTGATCTCTCTCTCTCTCTCTCTTTGCAGTGCTGCTCCACTCCAGTGTGCATCGGACTCAAACATTTGAGTCGGATACAGCCTGACTTTGCAGAGTGTAAGCCTGGCCTAAACAGAAAAAAGTCATTTGGGAGATTTGGTTTTCCATCTCGCAGCACAAAAGTGTCAGCATGACGTATTTCTAGTCATATGACTTCCTGCAATGTGACAATTGTACTAAGAACCCAACTAGACACAGGTGAGACACATCAGGTAATCACAGACGCAGGAGACACAGGTGAGAGTAGAAGAAAGCAAAGGATCTGAAACGAGATGCAGGATAAGTGTCAAAAACACAAGATGTAAAAACATGAGAGTAACTGAAACCACACACTATCCTGGAGATGTGTCATAACCAAGGGGCAACCTCCGGTCTGGAAAAATGAAGCCTATGCGGAAGTACAAAAAACTGCAGTTCCTCGAGGTTCCGCTTGAGGCTGGCTGCAGAAGCGCCGGAAGTGCCATAAGCCCACAGCCAAAAAAGCCCGTTTTTACCACAGGAATCAACATGTTTACAGCCTGGTTCAAAAAACGAGATATATCTGAGAAGTTGACGGCCCCTTCTCCTCACACTGTGGGGGGGGGGGTGAATTTTTTTATAACTCATCGGATTTCATTCTATTAAGGAAAACGACTATGCCCATATTAGGGTTGTGGCAGATTTAATTGACAGCTCTGCGCGGTCAGCAGGTCAGGAGGCTAACAGCTTGATCCGTCTGATTTCTCCTCTTTCTTACTTCGTTTGGAGAGTTTGTTTAACACATATCTGACAACATACATGGCTTGCTGTGCGGTTAACAGACCATCCAACAAGTTGATGCTTCAGTTGTTTTCAGTAAGTGATATAGTAGTGTTATATTTACTGCTTACTCGTATTTATATTTATATTTACGGACCTAGCTTGTTTAGAGTTAGCTTGTAAACCAGTCGGCTAACTGTGTAGCTCATTATTTACATTATTTACATTATTTACAGTCAATGGTTTAGAAATGTTGGTTAAGATGTTGTTGTTGAAAATAATGAGTTTGTGTGATGTTAGAAGCTAAAGGTTCACCTCGGTGGTTATCTGACGTTATGATGAATGTTATACTCCACCTAAATGTGGACATTAAAAAACAAACTTTGTGTAGTAATTATCCGTCAGTAACATAAACTGAACTGAACCTAATGTGCTGTGTAGGTTATAGAGGATGACATTAAAGTTACATGGTTGATGTAGTGTCTTAAGATTTGAGCAAACTGTTAACAAAAATCACTTTGTAAGAGCATCTGTAACCATTAAGAACTATATTAATAACCAGATTAATTTTCACTGAACTCATACACAGAATATAGCTGTAGAAATATAAAATATAAATAACATGGAATGAAAATAAGATATAAAGCACATAGATATAAAGTATAAGAAATAGTTACAAGAATACAGCCATGTACTGAGCTCATGTTAATAATAAATGAGTTACTTTATGTTCTGTACTAAAGCACAGAGAGTTGGGACCTGTTAATGATTTAAATAATTCAGGTTATATTTGTTTCATGTTAAGATGAAGTACTATCCACAATAAACTGCTTAATTTTTCCTCACCCAAAATCTGAGACAATTTAATGTGGAATATCATTGTGTGAGTGAGAGAGCTGAAAACAGCATGATTACAATAATGTTTATCTTCTTAACTTTGAATAGATGTTGATTACCTGAATACTGGACCTTTGTTGTCTGGGTAGTACACTGTTGAATTTATAAATGTGCTCTTACACACAGATGAATACAGAAAAATAATTTGATGATTTAATAAATGATTTAATGAATAACTGATATTTTCTCTCTTTCTTTGCCATCCTGAAGACCTCTCACTTAAAGTCCATGTTCTTCTGGATCCATGTCACATGCTCAAGCTTCTTCTGAATGACATTTCAACAGTCAAAGTTCTGGAGAGAGAAGATGGCCAGCAGATAAGACAGCAGTACATGAAGGAGCTCCACAGGCTTCAGGAGGAGGAGGAGGGTTTGCACCTTGGAAGACTGTATTCATGCTGTTCAAATAAAACTAGATCTCCTCCAAACAACTTGCAATCAAACCATTTTCTTCCCATTTTAAAACCCTTTGTCCAGTTTAGATGGGAGAAGTTGATATTATGTGATATTGATCTGGGAAGACTACATTTCTAAATCATTTTTAACTGTGTTTTTATTCACAAGTTATTGATCTTATTTACTCTCCATGTATCTTGATTTAAGAATGGGGCTGTGTTTAAGGTCATCATTTTGCAATGACTCTGTTCCATCCCATTTTAAGAAATGAACTGCATTAGTATTTATCAAAAGAATAAAAAGTTGTGTAAAAGTAGACTTCCTTCCCTAAGCTATTGAGTTGAGCATTAATGCACATTTTAGTCTTGTCATTTCAAATCTGAAATGTATACTCATAAGTAGACATAAAGGAGTGCATTTATATAGAAATATTTATTTAATCTGAAAAACAACATTAAAAAAAGTCTGTTTTTACAGCAGAGATGAACATGTTTACAGCTTGGTACAAAACAAACAAATAGGTGTGATTAGCTCATGTCTCGATGGACACACACTGTACGGGGGGTGAATGTTTTGATGACTCATCAGTTTTGATTTGATGAAGGATAAGAGTTATTCACAATAAGGTGTGTAGCTGACCAGCTTGACAGGTGGGCGCGGTGTAACGGTTTGTCAGGAGGTTTAAAACCCGCCTCAGCTCTCAGCCTGTGAGTGACATCACTCAGGCCATCCGGGGGAGACCTCCCTCACAGCGAGCTGTTGAAGAGAAGCAACTGAAGTCCACCCCAGAAGAACCAACAAATACAGATGTTGTTGAGGCTCAGGTTTCTTCCTCTGTCTCTGCAGCTCTCTGGGCACCTCGATGGACCAGTCACCAATAATCCACACTGTGTCTATAGGAGAAATACAAAGGTGTTCAATTAATGCCTCAGACAAAATGTACAGTTAACCACATGTGACAGCTCAGGGTGTTTTTTTGTTATGAGCCACATCTGCAGGAATAATATTGAACAAGGTAGCTGCAACTCATCATAATAGATGCCAGTCTTAAACAATATAATTTTCTAATACTTAAAGTTTTTGGTGTGACGCTGACACTGTCCACAGACTCCATGACTTCACAGGTTCAATAGAAAACAAATATCTTATAATAAATACTAAATATTTATTTTTCAATTGTCATGTTCACCTCATCGCTGTTGACATCAGTAAATATAAGACACAGACATTCCTCTTTTTGTCAGAACAGTAACCTCATATTTATTTACAGTCTATGGATAAAACTTTGTTAATGTATTTCTCTGCTAACACTGACAAAGTTTAACTGCTCTGACAAATAACTAATAACCATGATTGTATATTTAAAAAAGTGTAGTTTTAAGACTTTAATTAAATATTTGGGTTGAATATAATTAGTTTTTGTAGAAAAGTTAAATGTTAACTTACTGTTTAGTTTTCTCAGGATGAGCAGGAATAGTTGATGATAGCAGCCTAGCTGTTAGCTATGCTGTGAAGTGGACTGCTGACGTCGAGCTGAATGGGCGGCGTTAAGTCCCGCCTTACTGCTGTTTTTAGGTTGATCCGAAGTTAGGTTGAGACTGCAAATCCAATATGGATGCGGCCGTCGATTGGACTCATTTTCTGTCTATGTAACAGACGGGTCAGGGTTCATCCAGTAATATTTACAGTCTATGGTCATGACGAGCCAAACTGTCCATCAATCCGATCACACACTGATGGTGATGCCTTCAGGAACCATTTGGGTTGCTTCAGCTGGGGATCGAATCACCAACTTTTCTGACAACCAAACCACTGTACCTCTAAGCCACATCTTCCCCATAACATTGACAGTATTATTTTGTTTAAGGATGTATTAGCTTTAGGTAGTATATTGATTTTATAATATTGGTTCTAAATGAAATACGATGTCTTGAGTTAGTTCTTCTTATAATTATCTCCCATGCTTAAAAAATGTGTCCTTGTCGTCTTGTATGTTTCATTCATCTTGCTTTAAAGCATTGTCTTCTTCCGTTTGATGAATAGTTTCATATTATAATTATCAGTGTGTTATTTCAACAAGACAATGTTGTACCTCTGTCAGTATCATTTCCCTCATTCAGCCACCAGAGGGCAGCAGAGTACGTCTTTTAAAAATGGCCTTATATCCTGCTCAGTTCATCCACCAGACTCAGTTAATAAATCCAGACTGTTAGTGAAGCAGCTCATTCAGTCTCCACAGAGACTCTCCTGTAAGGACTCACTGAAGAGGATCACTTTACACCTCATAGAGACGAGGACATTCAGCTGACGTAGTCACAGGTGTGGCATGAAGCTACATTTCAGTAGTTCTTGAGTAGTTCTTGAGTAGTTCTTGAAATTAATGATGATGTAATGGGTGTGAAGATTTGATGGTTATGTGTTTCTAAGAAGATGCTCGTGCATTTTCTTATCTATTTAAAGAGTATATCAGTTTTCTACATATTGACTTGTTTTATCTTATTTCAGGTTGAATATTTTGACTCCATTTTGACTGTTTGTTTCTTTTATGGATCCAGAAAGGAGCCAGTCAAGGTTTTGTTTTCACACACTTTGCATTGAATGGAGAAGCAGGATCCAGATACCTGTGATCACTTGAAAGGAAAAGAAACTGTGCCTTTGAGGTTTGGGACTTTTAATCTTTCAGAGTCACTTCAACTCTACAATTCACTTAGCAGACGCTATTATCCAAAGTGCAACACAAGCGAGGATCTAGAGAGGAGGAAACAAAGTCAGTAAGTGCAAATGAACAGCTTTCAGTCTGATCTGACACACAGATGCTGACAGGAAAGCACAACTTCAACAGCTGTTCTTTAGAGTTCTAATCAGCATCAAAACCATCCTAAATATCGTGATCATCATTACCAAACAACACCATCTTCATCTTCATCATCATCATGAAGGTCATTGGTGTTCATAAAGAGCTGGGTCTTTAGCTTTTTCTTAAAGGTGCAAAGGGACTCTGCGGATCCAATGAAGTTTGGAATTATTTTCCACCACCGGGGGGCGACAGAGGAGAAGAGTGTAGTTAGAAACTTAAGAACCCGTCCGGTTCAGTTCGGTATGGTACACATGTATTGGTGTTTCTACTGTCATGAATACTTTTTTGGTACTCTTCTGTTGGGGTGCCAAGCGTACTGAACCGACTCTAAAGGTTGGAGCTAGAAACACTGCAGTCTGTTGATTGGTCGAAAGAAGAATCTTCACTTGACAGCGGTAATAAAGGACAAACACAAAACGCACCACGTTTTGGAGAGAGTCATTAAAAGGCTGTTTTTTGTTTTTATGCGACTATATGTCAGCGCGTAGCTCCGCCCCATGGACGACCTGGGAGATGCAATCATTCATTTTTATTTACTGTGTCACATTCTTCTTCTTCTTTATTGAATGTCTTGGCTGTCTGTCGTGCCGCTGTTGTTTTATGATGTACGGTTGGCTGTTGAAACGCAACAAGATCAGGGTTTACCGTGTCAGACTGTACTGAACCAAACCAGACCGCTTGGTGGAAACGGGGCTTTAAGGCCCAGGTTCAGTTGGACATTTGTGAACACCTTATAGAGGCAAATAAAAACACATAAAGTGTATAGTGTTTGCTTCTCTCTTATTCAAGTACTGCTATGTGTTGCTTTTATCCGTCCCTAAACATTGGCTGTTATTGTGTAAGTTGAAAAGTTGTTTTAGGTAAAAGAGTCTGCAGGACAGTAAACTAAACTGAGCGCACATTCGTGAGTGTGTGTCCTCAGTGAAGTGTGTCAGTCTCTGCAGAAGCTTCCTGCTGCAGCAGTCAGTCTGGTTTCTGTTCAGGCTGACTGAGGGAGGTTTTTGTACGACGCTTTTTCACTGTGTGAACACACTGACTGTTGATGATATGTACTCTGACAGTAGTAAACTGCTGCGTCTTCAGTCTGGACTCCACTGATGGTCAGAGTGAAGTCAGAGTTTGATCCACTGCCTGTAAAACGATCTGAAGTCCCTGATTCTCGAGTGCTACCAGTAAATCAGCAGTTTAGGAGTTCCTCCATCTTTCTGTTGGTACCAGGCTAAGTCAAGGGTTCGCCAAAAGTATTATCTACATCCTCACTGGTTGTACATGATAAGGTGACGGAGGCTCCCAGAGCAGATCTCACTGCTGCAGACTGAGTCACTGTGACCTGTCCTCTGGACTCTGAGGAGACAGAGACAAACACATGAAGCAGCATCAGGGTTGTGTGGGCTTCATTTCAGAGAGACGGATGTTCATAGAGGAGAGGAGTTTGATTGTCTGGACTTTACCTGTGAAGCAGCAGCAGAGGAGGAGAGTCCAGATGAGGACGCAGATCAAAGTCATGTTTTTGGACGAGGAGGAGGAGGAGGATTTCTGTGCTCCTGTTGTGATGAAGGACAGCTGTCAGTCCTGCAGTGTTCAACTCTCAGGACTTTAAACTCTCCCCGAGCACTGGAGCATGCTGCTGCTCATGCAAAGTGGCTCTTTATGGAAATGCTCTGACTAACTGGGGACTTGGATTATACTAATTATAAAGTTAATTATTTTAACTTTCAATAAGACATGTTTTTAAAACCGTGTTCATGCTTCTGGAGAAATCCCCGGAATAAAATGTCTTAATTTTGAATATTAATGGAAATGTATTCTTTATACTTTTCAGTTCATTTGAAGGTTTTGCAGACAAGAGCATTTTTTTTACTTTCTTTAGTGAGAGGTTTTTGTACGGCGACTCAGTGAGTTTGCATCACTGTGGTACACATTTGGTGGAGGAACCAGACTGGATGTTGGAAGTAAGTCAAATATTAACCCTTTGTATGTAAAGAGATTTTTTTTTTTTTTAAATGCAAGATGGAAAATGACTGACCCAAACATTTGTGTGCATGTTTTTCTCTGTATTTAGACTAAAAAAAATTTTTAATGAAACACAAAATCGTATCAAAATAAATGTCAAATCTGAAGCCAGAGTCATCATTTGTTCCAGAGTAATGAGTGTTATCATTGTAAAGGTGAAGTTGCATCTTGAGGGCTGGTAGTTTGAGTACGATGTGTTGAAGTCAGAGAGCCGTGTCTCTGTGCAGTGAGAGGTTTTTGTACGGCGACTCAGTGACTTTGTATCACTGTGGTGGACTTTTGGTGGAGGAACCAGACTGGATGTCGGAGGTAAGTTTCTGTCCGATTCTAAACAGTGTAATGTAATCATGATTTTTTTCTTTTTTTCATTTACAATATAAAGAAACATTTATACATTTTTACATTATATTTTTTTCCTGTTTGTGTTTGTCCTCCTGTACCATCTCAGGACAGATCGTTTACATTCAGTTCAGCAGCTTCAGATTCATAAAAAATAATTCTCTGGTTTCAGATATCTATTCCACATCAACGATAACTCTTAAAGGCCCTTATTTCATTTTGTCATTTTGAATAAATTGCTCAAAGGGAAGTTGTAAGAATTTTGAAAGAAAATGTTCAAAATCTCTGATCTCTTTCTGCAGATTATGTCACTTAAGATTTTTTAGCCTTTTATGATTTAAAACATGTTTTATTGATAGATTTGGTTCATGTTTCCACTCAACAGTTAGAAAAATAGGTATTTCAAAGGTTTGAGTGATTTGATGATTTTTCAGCTATATTTTAAGTCCAGTGTATTCTGGTCTCTCTGTACGATGATCGTCTCTGTGTTGATTTGCATGACAGATTTCTGAGAGGGAAGTGAAACAATGTGTGAGTGACTGCTGAAGCAGAAAAAAACATCTGACAGAAACTCCTTAAAGGAGAAACTCTGCTTTCAACTGCAAAGGTGTCCAGGAGTGATGTGTTTGACTGACAGCTGTGTGGTTCCTGTCCTCTGTTCTGATTGGTGTCTCCTAGGTGAAGCCCGTCCCACCTTGATGGTTCTGCCCCCTTCCAATGAGGAGCTGCAGCAGGGGAAGGCCACGCTCGTGTGCCTGGCCAACAAGGGCTTCCCCTCAGACTGGAGTCTGGCCTGGAAGGTGGACGGCATCAGCGGCGGCAGCTGGGAGGAGAGCAGGGGCCCTGCGGTGATGGAGCAGGACGCTCGTTACAGCTGGAGCAGCACCCTGAGGCTCTCTGCAGGCCAGTGGACGAAGGTGGGCTCTGTGACCTGTGAGGCCACCCAGGGCTCCCAGACGCTGGTCTCAGAGACACTGAGGAGGGACCAGTGTTCCCAGGACTGAGCTGTATCACCTGGACTCTGCTGCTGGTTTCCCTGCTGTTGTTTCACTTCTGAAACTGCCCTCAGTTTACACGCTAAATGCCTTCTTTCCCTCTCTATGATTTTATGTTTCAACGTTAATTTTTCTTCCTTTTGTATTGACAGTTTTTCTTAAAATGAGCAAAAGAATAAAAATGGAATCAAACAGTGTTGTTGTGCATATCTTTCATTTCTTAACAGGTTAACAATTTTTGAACGGACTTTGGTAAGTTCATCTAAAGAATAAAAAAAAAATAGCAATGGAAAACTTCCAAATAATCTTATATCATCAAAATCTGCTGTTGAAGATGGTGAAATGTCTCAATCTGATGACTGATGTGTTGATTGTTAAATCTCTGAAAATAATGAAGGTGGGTAAGAAATGTGTTACAAATAAAACGGATGATATCATCAGCATAAAGTGATAAAACATTGCTTCTGGCATTTTGTTCAATGCCTGCTCTGTGGTTGTCAAAATTAGATTTAAATATATAATTAAAATCATGAGAACACACATTGTGGAAAGTTTATTCAAAGGCTTTTTGGTAGGGTTAGGGTTAAGACTGTTCTGCATATTCTGTTGGGATGTCAAAAGAAAACGATTTAATACTTAACTCAAAAAAGATATTATCAATTAAAACAATTCAAATGTTTTTAATTATTGACAGTAGTAAACTCCTTCTTTTACCTGTGGTGCTTTGGGTGCTCTGCTTTTCTTGGATATAATTAGAGGACTCTATGGAAACAAGTAACCTCTGATGTAGTCGACGACTTTAAAAGACTAAAGAGTCTTATACAACACATATAGTTCTGTCAGTGCAGACTAACCTTTCCTCTGCAGGGCACCAGTTTAGCTCAGTTGATAGAGCAGGCGCTGTATTTTATATATTTGTGGCGACAGTAGCTCAGTCTGTAGGGACCTTGTTTGGGAACCTGAGGGTCGCTGGTTTAAGTCCCTGTACACATCAATGTATGGAAGCTGCCAGGTCCCAGGTCACTCTCCGAGTGCTATAGAGGTGTCCTAGAGCAAGACACTGAACCCCCAACAGCTCTGTTGTGCTCCCTGTGTCGCAGTGTGTAGCAGCCCCACTGACATCTCTCCAGGTCCTGATTGTGTTAGTGTGCACAGACATCATGTCCACAAGTTTTCAGATGTTACTGCACTCGTGCACCTACTTACCCAAGGCAAATCTGACCAACAAAAACAGAGATTGAATCTTTAGTCAGCTGGTGTGATGCATATTGAATGTTGGGACAAAGAACATATTATTGATTTTAGAAGAAAGAAAGACGATGTTTCCCCTCATAGCAGATCCAAACTGTCCAGTTTCATAAATATGTCGTGTCTTCATGGACAGTACATTAAATTGGAAAAGGACACTGATGTGTCTTTAAAGAAGGCTCAGTCAAGACTCTTAAGGAAGCTTAGATCCTCTGACTTTAGCAAGAACCTTCTGTACGTTTTGTATCTTGGCTAGTGTCCTCTTTTATGCTGTTCTGTGCTGGGGGGGGGGGCAGCTTCTGTTTGGATGATACAAATAGATCAATAAGCTGATCAAAGAGGCTGGCTCTGTGATCGGCTTTACCCCACACTCTCTTGAAGTCACCTTTGAGAAGAGAACGAGGACAACACTAAAAATCTTTCATAAATATCTGACATATGCCAAGGGTTCATTTTGAAATGCTAAGTACTGTATAGTGGAAATATATGATATTGAATAACTGATTGTGTAGTTTTTGTATTACAGGGAAGAGGTGATGGAAACCAGTCAGTGTAGTGTTTGAGTGTGTGTCCTCAGTGAAGTGTGTCAGTCTCTGCAGAAGCTTCCTGCTGCAGCAGTCAGTCTGGTTTCTGTTCAGGCTGACTGAGGGAGGTTTTTGTACGACGCTTTTTCACTGTGTGAACAAACTCACTGTTGATATATGTAACTCTGACAGTAGTAAACTGCTGCGTCTTCAGTCTGGACTCCACTGATGGTCAGAGTGAAGTCAGAGTTTGATCCACTGCCTGTAAAACGACTTGAAGTCCCGATACTCGAGTGCTACCAAGTAAATCAGCAGTTTAGGAGTTCCTCCATCTTTCTGTTGGTAGGCTACCAGCTAATAGGGTTCGTCGTCGCCGTAGTATCTACATCCTCACTGGTTGTACATGATAAGGTGACGGAGGCTCCCAGAGCAGATCTCACTGCTGCAGGCTGAGTCACTGTGACCTGTCCTCTGGACTCTGAGGAGACAGAGACAAACACATGAAGCAGCATCAGGGTTGTGTGGGCTTCATTTCAGAGAGACGGATGTTCATAGAGGAGAGGAGTTTGATTGTCTGGACTTTACCTGTGAAGCAGCAGCAGAGGAGGAGAGTCCAGATGAGGACGCAGATCAAAGTCATGTTTTTGGATGAGGAGGAGGAGGATTTCTGTGTCTCCTGTTGTGATGAAGGACAGCTGTCAGTCCTGCAGTGTTCAACTCTCAGGACTTTAAACTCTCCCCGAGCACTGGAGCATGCTGCTGCTCATGCAAAGTGGCTCTTTATGGAAATGATGGATTTCAATCACTCAATGAGCTGATCTGATGATGAGTCTTTCAAGTATTTTAAAAGTTTTCTGAAAAGTATTTCAGTAGCTTTAACAATTATTTTTCCACAAGTTTCAGTTTTTCATATACACAATTCAAACAACATTTAAACTATTCTTTAAAACCTGAAAAAGTATTTTGCCAACTTTTTTTGTGTTGCTTGTGTTTGCCCTTTCTCAAGGATTAAAAATGTTTTTTTAATGAGAACACAATTTTGAAAGTGGATACAACATATACAAAGACTTATCACAGAATTACAGCAAAATTCTGAATTTGTCTTTTGCAAACCAAACTTCACTGCATCTAAAGTCTAAAACAAGTAGCTCATAACGTCTTGTTTTAAGTAGTGAAACGTGTCTGTTGTCACGGTTAAGCAGTGGTGCCTGTCTGTTGAACGGTTACTGAGCTAAGAGAGGGAAGTGAAATGTTTTAGACCAGTTTCATCTTCTCTGAAGAAGACTGACAGATGCAGTCGTGTCCTCGGCTGCCACTTACGAGAAAAAGGGTATTTGACCTCCCTTAATTATCATTGATCTCTCTCTCTCTCTTTGCAGTGCTGCTCCACTCCAGTGTGCATCGTCTGCAGTGCTGCTCAAACATTTGAGTCCAGTGTGCATCGGACTCAAACATTTGAGTCCAGTGTGCATCGGACTCCATTTGCAGTACATCGGACTCAAACATTTGAGTCGGATACAGCCTGACTTTGCAGAGTGTAAGCCTGGCCTAAACAGAAAAAAGTCATTTGGGAGATTTGGTTTTCCATCTTGCAACACAAAAGTGTCAGCATGACGTATTTCTAGTCATGTGACTTCCTGCAATGTGACAATTGTACTAAGAACCCAAATGCACAAATCCAAAACACTTAGAGAAGATACAAAGTCTGTTTAATCAGAAGGGAGGTCAGTACACGGGAATCTAAATCACAAGCAGAGGTAATCAAAACGTTGGGCAACAGGCAGGTCAGAAAATACAGAAAAAGGTCGGAATAATAATCGGAAAAATACACAATGAAAGCTGGAACGTTGTCATGAGGGAACAAGAAGAACTGGCATAGAAGGAGGGAAACACAGAGACTAAATACTCAAGGGGAGCGAAGACAACTAGACACAGGTGAGACACATCAGGTAATCACAGACGCAGGAGACACAGGTGAGAGTAGAAGAAAGCAAAGGATCTGAAACGAGATGCAGGGTAAGTGTCAAAAACACAAGATGTAAAAACATGAGAGTAACTGAAACCACACACTATCCTGGAGATGTGTCATAACCAAGGGGCAACCTCCGGTCTGGAAAAATGAAGCCTATGCGGAAGTACAAAAAACTGCAGTTCCTCGAGGTTCCTCTTGAGGCTGGCTGCAGAAGCGCCGGAAGTGCCATAAGCCCACAGCCAAAAAAAGCCCGTTTTTACCACAGGAATCAACATGTTTACAGCCTGGTTCAAAAAACGAGATATATCTGAGAAGTTGACGGCCCCTTCTCCTCACACTGTGGGGGGGGGGTGAATTTTTTTATAACTCATCGGATTTCATTCTATTAAGGAAAACGACTATGCCCATATTAGGGTTGTGGCAGATTTGATTGACAGCTCTGCGCGGTCAGCAGGTCAGGAGGCTAACAGCTTGATCCGTCTGATTTCTCCTCTTTCTTACTTCGTTTGGAGAGTTTGTTTAACACATATCTGACAACATACATGGCTTGCTGTGCGGTTAACAGACCATCCAACAAGTTGATGCTTCAGTTGTTTTCAGTAAGTGATATAGTAGTGTTATATTTACTGCTTACTCGTATTTATATTTATATTTACGGACCTAGCTTGTTTAGAGTTAGCTTGTAAACCAGTGTGTAAACCTAACTGTGTAGCTCATTATTTACATTATTTACATTATTTACATATTACATTATTTACGTCAATGGTTTAGAAATGTTTTGTTAAGATGTTGAAAATAATGAGTTTGTGTGATGTTAGAAGCTAAAGGTTCACTCGGTGGTTATCTGACGTTATGATGAATGTTATACTCCACCTAAATGTGGACATTAAAAAACAAACTTTGTGTAGTAATTATCCGTCAGTAACATAAACTGAACTGAACCTAATGTGCTGTGTAGGTTATAGAGGATGACATTAAAGTTACATGGTTGATGTGTGTCTTAAGATTTGAGCAAACTGTTAACAAAAATCACTTTGTAAGAGCATCTGTAACCATTAAGAACTATATTAATAACCAGATTAATTTTCACTGAACTCATACACAGAATATAGCTGTAGAAATATAAAATATAAATAACATGGAATGAAAATAAGATATAAAGCACATAGATATAAAGTATAAGAAATAGTTTGAAGAATACAGCCATGTACTGAGCTCATGTTAATAATAAATGAGTTACTGTATGTTCTGTACTAAAGCACAGA